CTTTGAAACTGGATGTAGCCAATTGTCTGGCATTTTTTCCTCCTAGATGTAAGATAGAGTCCTAACCCACTTTTTGTTTTTAAGTAATAAATATTTGAATTTCTTACCTTATCAATTCCCCTCTCCCCCCAAACCCCCAGCTCTCTTCCCTGAGCAGGTCACAGCAATCCATGTGCTTCAGTTGAGTAGCAATGTAGCTGTTTGCCCCTCTGGAATGTGAGTTCACCCGCTTAATGTCTATTTTACTCACCACTTTTCTAATGCTTTATGGTCTTCTGACTCACCCCTATAAACATATCACAATTCAGAATTCATTTTCTTTTTTAGGATGTGCTCTTTAGTCCGCCTTTCACTTTTAGAATATTATGCTCACGTTAATTACCTTTGCCTTCCACTTTTAGAATGTTACTGCTCAAGTTAATTACCTTTATTCAAAAGTTAAAATATTACATTGAAAAACACCAAGTTTGTTATGCTTAAGTTAATAAGTTCTGTATATGACTCAATCTTCATCCTCAGACATCTATCAAGTTTGTTCAGCTACCTATATAACAAATATTCCCTGTTATGCTTTTGAAACCATGTTGGCAACTCTAAGAATGTGGTTTCAGTAGTTTGATTGTGAATATATCTAAATATAGTAGTAATTGATACTATTAAGTTGAATGGAATGGAGTTACACGTTTTTGGTTAATTCCTTGAGTGTCTTCTTACCCTATCTCAATCGGTCTGTTGTTTTCTCTCTCAGGTTTTTGACTTATCTTTCAGCTATATGTGAGGATGATGTTCAGGGTAAGAAGCTATTACATGCAGCCATCAATGTGCTCTTTCATGTTCCTGTTTCTGGAATTTCTGGGAATAATAATAATTTTGCGGAGGACCAAAGTGAAACAGGGGATGCAAAGCCTGCTTTACTTTGGAGTGTCTTGTATACTCAGGAACTTGCGAAGGTATCTGCTATAACCTTTTAATACCCTGTTTTGTTTTTGGTTTGCTCTACGCTGTTGCTCTTCCATTTTGATTCTATAAGGATATTCCCCAGTTCTTGTTTCATTTTGCTAAGGTTTTCATCTTGCTTTTTTTTTCCTTTGCAAAAGCGGTGAAACAACTGTCATAAGCATTTCATTTTGGGCTGTTGCAGTCCGTCAATTTTGTTTCTTCAGGGTTTTGAAGTATCTTTGTTCAGAATCTTCTGCACATTTTGATATAGGCTGTCAACTTATCATATAAACTGTCTAACATGTATATTAGTACAGCATAGTTCATTGGTCGGTTGACACATAAATTAATCATTCTTGAAGCTTATCAATCCCGTCTTTTGTGTAAAGTTGGAAGTCAGAGTGGAGCAGTTTGATTACTTTTTTTTTGAGACAAGGTAACTTTGTATTCACACCAAAAAATTCATCATCCAAAAAATGATGAATTGGAAACTTACATCCCACCCATGGGTATACTTTACAAGTTTCCTTTAAAATCAACTAAGTCTACTATATCCCCTACAAGATTCTGTTTACACCAAAAAAACAAAAGGCTTATACAATTCATTCTAATCTTCTGTAAGTTAGTCTTTTGTCCCTCAAAACTTCTTAAATTTCTTTCTTTCCAGAGAGTCCACCATATGCAAGCAGGAATAGTTCTCCACCAGTGTTCATTTCTCCCTCTGTTCCCAATACCTTTCCAGCTATTTAGTAGTTCCTTTGTTGTGCTAGGCATCGCCCATTTAACTCCCAACAGAGCCAAAAACATGTTCCATAGGTTCAATGCTGCCTTACAATGAAGGAACAGATGGTCATTGACTTCTGCTTCCTGTTCACACATGACACATCTTGAACAAAATTGCCATCCCCCAGTTTGATTACTTTATCAGCCAATTTGCTCATAATTTTATCCCAGAGGAAGGCTTTGGTATTTATATCCAGGGATTAGATCTCATGGTAAGTGTGAGAATTACCCTTCTGATCCTCACTTATAAATTGGGTTAGGGGTAGCGTTGGCTTCATTTCTATTCCTCCTTCCTTGCTCTCCATCTTCCTCCAACACAGAGCCTTTCTAGTCACATCTTGCTACCTCCGGTGACTCCTCTTTCCTGCAGATTGCTTTACCCTGCGGCCGGGCTGATCCCCCCACCCCTAAAAAACAAACAAACCCTGAGAGAGAAAAGAGCCATGTTAAAAGCTGACATATACCTTTTCCTGCCTCCAATCTCCTCTTGTTTCCTCCATTCAGCTGATTCCCGTCTCTTTCCTTCTGTTTGTCTTGTATTTCTTTTTCGCTTCATTATTCTTCTCCTGTTCCTCAAATATCATGTTGCTTTTCTTTCTGTGTCCTGAAATATATAATTTTCACCAATTTGTGATTCTTCTTTTGTACATTATATACTTCATGGTTGAAATTATGGATAATTAGTGTTAGATTGATGGGCTGAGATGAATTTGTGATGGAAAATAAAAAATTGTAGAGTTGTTAATAAATTTAGTTTCTTATAGATCATAAAATGCCCTTGTTCTGCATGAGGACTACTCTTAGACTGGTAATTTAATCCAAGAGTGTATAACGCAAGATTGGGTTACCGTTAAGGTACAGCATGATTAAGCCAACTGTACCAAGTGGCAAACACAGCATATCAGGTTGTGATGACCTGACAATCCCCAAATAATTAATTATTTATCCAGGAACTAATAATCTCAGTTAATCTGACATGCCACCAAATGGTCCCTGAGTTTGTGATAGTTGTCCTTATTTTTCCAATTTTTGTCCATCAGTTTCAGGATGTACTAGATAACATCATCCGTACCCCCATGCCAGATGGGAGTCCATATTACCATGATCTTCTGGGTGCTACTGAAAAGGTAAACATGCATTTCTTAAATGGACCTCTTTTATGTTGGTCCCTATCTTCTTTTCCCCCTATTTCCGCCCTCTTTCTTCTTCTTCTTCTTCCGTCTTTGCCATGGCCCGTTTACATGCATTTCACAAGGGCTTATAGTGATGTAGGAGAAGGGTAGATACTCGGACAGTAGCCTGATTTGGTGTTCTTGTATTTTGTGCAGATATTTCAAGAACTGTATTCTGGTGAAGAATTCTTTCCCAAATCAACCTCACCCGAGGAGGGTGCTGCCCAAGAGCTCGAGGACTAGACACCAATGATGCTGCTGGATATGTTTTCATTTTAGCTGATGGATGGTGGCAGAATATTACAGCTTGCATTGACAATGACAACAGCATACCCGGTGAGGGTAGGATGTGCCTCACTGACAATGGCGACGATAATATAGTTGTCGGTCCCTACATACCAATATTAGTGATTTATTCGAAATACTTTGTTGTTGTAAAGGTAATATCGATAGTGTTCGAGTTTCTTTGGCTTACAATTAACAGGATTGAATGTAGAGGTTTGGCATGAGACTTGGACTGCTAAAGGTGTTATCTACTTTTGCAATTATTAATTTTTTGATTTGAAATTGAGACTTCCCAATACTTAACCTTTTTTTTTTTTTTTAAAAAAAAAAGAATGTCTCCAATGTATCTCGCGTGCTTCCCCTCCGTATCCAAAGTATGTCACTTGGTTAATTTCAACAGAGATTATCAAGGAAAATTAGATGTAGATTAAATTATGACTTTAAAAATAATATTGAAAGATTTAAAAGTTTAATCATTTATGGGAATTATTACAATTGAAGCTGCATGTTATAAACTTGAAGAGACAGTTATGCTCTCTGTTAAAAAAAGAAGAAGAAACTTGAGTGATATAGGTGAAAAATTTACGTCATAATTCATACGTATACTTCCAAGTTCTATCCCGACTGAATATGAGAGTGGACAAAACAAGAGTTAAAAGCCCCGTGGATAAAACAAGAGTTAAAAGTGGGATGAATCCGTAACTTCCATTTTGACAGAAAAAACTTAAAAGGAATATTACACAAACATGCATTTCCAAACACCATTAAAGTTCCCTACAAACTGAGCAGATACATCAAATTTGTACAATTTAATGATGGAGTATGTTTAACCTCCTCAAAGTTATTCATTTCATCAAATAAATACTCCCTCTCTTCCAATTCTTCTTTTCCTATGTTCGGTATACCTACACCGACCTATGCATCACTGTAAACATTCCCCCAAAAAGAGCACTTGAGCAATTAAAAATTCAGTGCATTTTCATGTTCTTGGGACAATATTTTCCATTATACTAGGTTGAGTCGAAATCATGTAATTTAATTTATGATTTTTTCCCCCATATTTGAATGATTTGTTTGGTGTTGTGGAATTGGCCTAATTAGTGGTTTAATGTGGTGTTAGTTACCATGAAGGGACAAAATGGAGATACGGGAACTATTTGTGGAGCAATAAAAGAAGGTGGTGCCGAGAAGTGAAGGTCCAGCATGTCACGCTGGCCGCGCGTGACAGTGGACCTTCTCTCTTTTTTATTGCTCGAAATAGCTCTCAAGTTCCTACTTTTGCCTCCAAATTGTCCCTTAGCACTATTTTGAACCTTCTTGGTATCTAACACAAAGCTATGCATATAGGATAGAGAATTACTTACACAAAGTCAAAAGAAGAGAAAATTATCTTGATAGATTATTAGTGGAAGACTACTAAAAAAAAAAAAAAAAAAAAGAAGAAGCGGAAGACTGCTCTATAATTTAGAACTGAGCTAAAAACAACAGTGCAACAAAAACTTGCTGATTCTGTTTACCAGGATGTGGACTGAAGCAATATCCGCCTTAATTGCATACTGGATGGACTTATTTTCTTGGCTACACATCTGTCTCAGTATCTTATGCTGCAAGGTGAATTGGGGAGAACACAACTTAATAGTGCTTTATATAGAAAAGAAATCAATATTCTTTTGTATGTTTGTCGTTGAATGTTCACTATGGTTTTTGTGTTCCTTTTCGTTTCTTTTACCAGGGTAAGAAGCTGCTTGGTATATGTTAATCTTTTATCTTTTTAAAGGGAATAGTTATTGTCTGATGTGGCAATGACTAGGAAATCGGTCAATGTTACTAGATGGACCAAACAATAACGCTCTTGTAACATTCAACATCTCTTATTCAGTGCTAGAAGAAACTTTGACTGCTGAGCTGTATGAGGTAAGACATTCTCAAGTACGGTTCTAAGGAAAGGAATGAACTACCTATTCTGAGACATTCTCAAGTACGGTTCTAAGGAAAGGAATGAACTACCTATTCTGGCCGGGGAGAACAAGCCATTCAACAGGCAGATTCTGAAATTGCAGAGGCTTGGTTCGATCAAGCCGCTGAGTATTGGAAGCAGGCTATAGCGCTTACTCCCGGTAATTATATTGAAGCGCATAACTGGTTGAAGATCACTAGACGTTTCAAATAAAAGAAGATCCTGTTTGTTTATTATCCTTTATTTAGAATCTTATATTATTCTGATATTGGTTCACAAGTTGGATGACTTAAGGATGTTTCTTATATTGATTTTGTTGCCTGAATGAATGTTTTTGAAGAAAGATAATGCAACGACAACAGGAGAAAAACGAGTTAGCAGCTTTAAAGGAAATATCATTGACTCTCTGATATTAAGGATGATCAGTCATTCTTTCAAAATTATAGAGTAAGCTCTGGTTGTTCCTTTAATTACATTTTTTTTTTTAAATCGCTAAGCCTCATAGGCCAATGTTAGTAAATAGCCCTTGGTTATACCTGTTGGCTCTGTAATTAGAATCTCAGGTTCAGCCTTGACGTTGTTTCATTTCTTTCTTTAAGTCATATAGACAATATTCAACACCAAGAAATTTCTTTTGGATTAAAATGAACAATAATTTGGTCCTTCTGTGCCAAAATTGTCAAGATAAATGACTAATAATCCAATCATCACGTACCAGGGCATGGTGGAAAAACTCTTCTATTGACTTCATTTTCTTCATGATAATAACGTTTTACCTAAAAGTTACCACTCACGAAAATACTTTTGAGATTCTGTCCATCTCAGTCATCTTGCTTGGAGACTTTGAAACTTCCAAGTAAAGCCATGGCAGGACTCATTAATTCCATGCCCGAAGGCTGTGGTAAGACTTGAAGTCAATGGTGGGTCCTCGTTCATGAAGTAGGTGAAAATGGCAGATCAATATTCAATTTCTAGTAAAAGTTAAGTGATCTCTTCTTATTTGTTTAGCCCTCGGTGGACAAAGTTACTTGATAACTGTGTTAATAAAAAGTAGCAGGCACCGAATGAAATAGTTGAAGTGCATACAAACTGGCACATACACTGCTATTATAAAAAAAAGGAAAAGGTGGTAACCTCTGTATTATAATAGAACCATATTGCTTTGTTAGACTACAATGGCTCTCTCTGTATGCTACTCTTCATTTCTTTCTTATCTTCTTCTTTTTGTCCTCTTGTTTCGTGATGCTAGCTCAATTTCTCACCACCACCACCACCATGAACTCAAATCTATCCATTTTACTCTCTTTCAACACGAAACCATAAATAAAACAGCATATCTTATAGTGAATGGTGTTGCAGGACCGTCCATAAGCCAAACCACGACCCCTTTTGGCACCTTATATGTGTTCCACGATCCCTTAACTCTAAAAGCCAACTCAAACTCAAAGATAGTTGGGACAGCTGAAGGAACATCGATAACATCCTCGTTGAATGGACTGCAGAGCATATCTATTGCTAAGATCACTTTGATGATGAATCATTACAAAGGCTCAATATCAGTTGTGGGAGGCACACACAATACAAAGCCATCTAACCATCCCGTTGTCGGAGGAACTGGTGATTTTCTGTTTGTTCAAGGTTACGTGACATCTTCTCCAGTAGATCTGTCTGGGATCACTGTTACTTATAAGATCCAGTTTCACCTCTATTGGCCTCCCTATGCCATTCCAAGTCATCCCAAGTAATGTATTTAAGGCTACAAAGCTATCTCTTTACAGCTTTCATATTTCTGCTGTTTATCTCAGTGGTAGAAATAAAATTTGAAGCATTATTAGGAATAGATGAAGCAGGTCAAGTAAGTGTTTACCCTAAAAATACTTCATCTGGATGCCACAATGTTCTGATTTAAATTCTAGTGGATCTAATTTGACCAAATTATTTACCTCGTTTAGTAGAAACAACATTTCCTTGAATACACATCATGTTTGCACACACGAGTATGATCTAATGGTCAATGAAGTGGGCAAATATCATGAGAGACCAGAATTCAGATCCCAACAAAGACAAAAACATCAGGTGATTTCTTCTTATCTATGTGCTTTGGTGGGTAAAGTTACTTGATGCCTATATGGCGGGAGGTAGTAGATACCTAATAGAATAGTCCAAGTGTGGTCAAACTGGCGCACATGACATAAAAAAAGAAAAAAAAATATGTTGTGTAGGATGACATAACATTTCCAGAACTAGCTGAAACCACCACCCTTTGCCCTCCTTTGGGACTTCGACATAATGCATCAAGGAGAAATGATCATAAGACAAACAAAGAGATCATACAACCTAGAGAGTAACAGTAACAGTTACCAAATCATGGCAAAGCCGAGATTCAATTTCTAGAAATATCAACTCATAACCATTTCAATATACAAATAATCATGTAACTAGGACCTTTTAAATGAATGAGCAAAAAGAAAATTATCAAAGACATGAAAAGAACACATAATAACCAAAAATTTTACAAAGCATATGAAAAATCTGGCAATTTTAGCAAACATAGCTCCTACCATGCATTCTGAACTCAAAATCAACGCCTTGATTGGTGCAGGCTAGGCCTGTTACAGAACATTCGACCATTGGCTCTCACAAATGCAGCTATGCCCAAACTTATGCTTGCCCAAACCACTGCATATATCAGACTCCGGAGATCATGTCGAACTATAGATAGGGAAGTACAAAACAGGAAACATGGGTAAGATACTTGTTAGGCATTAACAGGATTTGGATTCTTTAACACACCTTCAAAGATAATTGTTGAAGAGCACAATAAGAAACACATTCAAATTATGCCAACTCACCTTTCCTTAGCGACAACATAGCAAAGAACAACCCAGTCAATATTAGTGCCAAGGCCAGAGGAAACGACTGTAATCACATAAGATACTTGTTAGGCAAGTGTAGGCCTTGATTACAACGGATGGTAATGAAAGTTAAAGTTATGTCAAATGTACCACAATTTAAGCCTATATTCATGAAAAAGGAAAAAGGGAATGAGATACAAAGAAGTAAAAAGAACATTGTATAAGCCCTGATTAAGGGTTGTCACACTAAATAGCTGGAAGAGTAGATACCATGATGTAAAAAAAGTTAAACCAGCCCAGAAACAGAAAATTTCATCATTTAGCTAATTGGATAAAAAATCGAATGAGAATTATGCCGATAAGGAACACATTTAATTTTTGGCTTCAATAAAGACCTAGCATATGTTTTGGGCCAAGTCTATGTGTTGGAAAAATAATAAACTTGTCAATCCTCTAACGTTAAAGAAAAGAATAAGACTGACAGGTCACTAGTCAATAGATTGAACACTTTGGTCTTGAGTCAAAACAACTTTGCAGATGCAATTAAGAGTGTTGGTGAAGTCAATAATTTAGTATGTCAATATGGTCTAATCACAGGAATCTGATAAATAGGAGCATGTTAAGCATGATCACAGCAGAATAAGTAATGAGACTCACAGCTTTAGTCTCAATGCTTCCTTTTTGGGTTGATGGTTTCATATCTCGAGAGACAGCCGGAATATAGTCTCCTTGCAATAAATCAACTGCATCCTTCATGATATAAAAAATAGCATAAACGAATTCAGTGTCCAAATTGGAAATATAGAAGCTCAAAGTTGTTGCAGCCAATTCCAACCTAGATACTGGGACACATAACAGGTTAAACATTCTTAATGAAAGTATCTCCTAGAAGTCAACAAGAAACTAATCCAATAAAATGGCAGCACACTGCAAATGATGATACTAGGTTAAGTTAGTACTTTGCAGATGGCTTGCATACATGAAGCTTAGTACTATTTAAAGAATGCATTCCAAAATTTCAACTGGCGGATAAGTATGAAACCAAGTTGCAAGTGACAGCACATAATGAACGCTACCAACTTGATATGACGTACAGACTTGAGTAACAACTAATTGGTGGAAAGAAGCATCATTACCTGTTTAGTACCATCAACAAAGTTGTTCAAGTAGTATCGTGTTAGGGCATTACATCCGTCAGTGAGAACCCCCTGGGCTGTTCTGTGACCACATCTGCATATCAAACAACAATGTTGATTTTATCATGACATTGATCGACGAAAGAAAAAGCTTGAAGTCGTAAGATCAATTTTTTTACTATAACTTATAAAGTTGTATGCTATATCCATCATGATCTTGAGATAAACTATCGATGGAATTATGCAGTTGGCATTTAAAGATCCAATCCCAGATTCTTACTCTTGATATGAATGTAATTGGCCAAGAACTAGTACCAATGTCAATGTGGTTATATAATGTTCGTTGATTTTGGAACTTTGTCAGGGTTTGAATCCTACTATCTATGCATTTATATTAATGCACTCTCCAAAAATATGTTTTGTACTAATGCTGCCGTCATATGATACAATCTTCTTTAAGCAGAACAAGTAAGTTGTTACCTGACAAAATCTCCCTTTAAAGCTGGAGTACCAGAATACTGGATGCTTATATCATCCCCATGGTTGGCCCACACTGCAAATAATTTTTAAGGTAAAAGAATAAACAGGTCAAGATAAAGAAGCTTAATATCTATCCAACATAGAAGCTTTAACACAGATATCAAAAACTTCTCACAGAGTTTGAAGCTTTCGTCAAGGTTGGGGTGTGAGCTAATAGTTTCTTCAGCATCGAAAGCACCAAGCCTTCTCAGTTGGAATTCGAGCATTTTCCGACCTAGCATGCTCTGCAAACAAACATCATCAATTAGGGCATCCGTAAAGTGTGATGAGAAGTTGAAAAAAAGTGGATCCGAATCTATTAGTTGGTACATGCTTCTCTAGTGGTTTAAGTCCCAAGGCACAACCATATCAACCATTCCTGTCCTGATCCCAGTCCCACAACCAACAAATGAATAATTATAGAAAACAGTGTCAAATATTAAGCCAGAGTGAATCTTCCAACTTTCTAGATTTAGGAAGTAACATTCACTCCCAGTCGGGACATTCAATAGAAGCTTGCCTAGAACCAGAAAGGCAGTACAAATAATGAACTTGCAAATCATCTCTAGTTAACATGTCTATGTACAGAAAAATTGTCAACTGAATATTTTGAAGCTAGTGAAGGAGATTCAAATAGGCACCCAAAGGTAAGTAGAGAAAGCTAAGTTACTATTATGTTGTACCCTTCCACAATTGACAATTTTTAAAGAGTTAAATGGAAAATACTGACAGTGTGTTGTCAGTATTTTCCCTCTCTGAACTAAGAAATGAAACTCGTCTTTTATATGCATCCACATCAAGCACCAATGATAGTAATGTTTCCACAGGAGGGAAGGTACCTGAGTTACATTTGTACGGTCTAAACAGTCAATGCAGTTGGTCCTCAAAACTCCAAGTTGCAGTTCAACTTTCTCACCTTTCTCATTTAACAGAAAATACCTATACCATGAGAATAAGAAATCCAAATTTAACATCAAGGTCAGGTGAAACAACAGTCAACAATTAGATACTACAAGAAACAGAGTGGTAAAGAAAGAGTATCTGTTCCTGACAAAACACCAAAGAGAAATAATTACTTTATGATGGATGCAAATTTAGAGTCTCTAAACAACACCATGCAATTAATTTTGTTATTTGCCCCATCTCTCTCTCACTCTCTCTTTCTCATAATATTCCTGACTCGGTCTGCTATTTGGTTTAGATTTTCAGTTTCTCCCAAATTTTCAAACCAAAAGAGTTCTCTCCTCGCTACTAGTGCTGCTGTCTCTTCATGCATACAGGTGTTTTGGCATAATCTTTTGCTCTAGAGATGTATAACTTGAAATGGCACATTCTACTTCACTTATTTGTTTCTAATAGTTCTTTCTATGACAGTGTAACATGCTGACTTACACTGGATTCCTTTACTAGTTCTTGGTAAGCCAGGTTTAACTGGTTTGTCCTCCCAGAAAGAATAAAGAGTAAAAAGAACAGTTAAAATTCTTTACGGTTAACCCATCAAACCCTCCACGATTTACAGACCAAGCCTGGCCCAATGGCTTCTGGCTAGAATGAGTCCATGCACATCCCAGCTCCATCATCATCCCTCTCCAGGTAGATGAGATTCAGAATTAAGAGCATATTTTCATGTAATCCCACATGATTTACGACTAGTAAGGGGTTGAGGAAACTGAAACTCTATACAAGATGGTACATATAGGTGTGTGTGTGTGTTTATATATAGATCTACACTCGGAAGAGACATACCTATTTTTAATGAAAAAATCCTCAATTTGATCATAGAGGATGGAAAGGAGTTCAAAATGAACATGCCCGCATATGTGGTGAAAATCAAAGTGCAAGTATCTGCAAAAGTCATAAGATATTAGAATGAAGTGTGGTACTTAAAAAGATCCATATGATTTACCACAAGAAAAATAATTAGAAACCTACTTCACATCATCAGCAGCAACATGCTGCATTGCATTTGCGAACTTTTCACATAGGCGTCCTTCTCCTCCATGCTGATAAGAGTTTTGGATAAAAAAGTCAAGGACGATAGATAAAATTGTCTAGATATATCGATGTAAAAATACATAGAATGTTTTTCATACATGTCACATTAAAAAAATCACAGACCAAACTGCCTCCAAGTTATTATTACACATGCACAAAAACAGAAGAGAATCAAACTATGTTTTCTAATAGATCAACTAGTTTGAAAACCAAGAATTAGTTGAAATATTATACCTTATT